ATAACATAAACTGCTGTTTTCTCTTAGAAATTGATTGATCACCTAAGAATCCATTCCCATAGTGCAGTGTATGCCAACAGTATGTCAGCACCTGTAGCACAACAGATTGTCAGCTGTATGAAAATCATCATGGGTAAAGACGGAACAGATATAGGTGAGGTGACTGTTGTGTAAACTTTTTATTGTTTTCAGAGTGTTACTTACATCTACTTTGTAAAAACTGTTAAGGTTTGAATAAACTATAGAACCTCTTTAAAGTAAGTCCTTTTAAAGCACCTTACTCTTGGTTTATTTATAGGACAGACAAAAATTCAGCAGTTGGCATGGAATTCACAATATGTACGTAAGAACTTAAGAAAGATGGGCTTTATTGTTTATGGCCATGATTACTCACCTGTTGTTCCTATTCTCTTATATCTCCCAACAAAGATTGTGTAAGTCTGTTATCTTTTATAAGTGCAAAGATAATTAATCAATCATTTCTCACATATATATGATAAAATGGGCATCACAAAAGTTTCAAATTTGCATACTATTAAAAGTTTAAATAGAACTTTCTAAAGATAATCTTAATTGTTTAATAAAACTGCATTAACTATTTTTTCAAATCATTCAAGCCAATTTGTAATGAGTTTTTTACAGGTAAATGCAAATTTATGTTTAAAATTATAGTAATGTTTAAAATTTGGATACATAATGTTATATAGTTTGATTCATACAAACATTTAGTAATCAGGGATTGTTAAGGTTAAGATGTATATGACATTTTTATATTTATTTTATTTATCAGGGCCCTTGTACGTAACTTGATGAAACGTGGGGTTGCTACTGTAGGAGTTGGTTTCCCTGCCACACCATTGGTAGAGTCCCGAGCTAGACTCTGCATGTCTGCTGCTCATACCAAAGAAATGTTAGATGAGGTAAGTGTATCTGATGGAAGGTTCATTTGTTTATTATGCTAGCCTCATTTTCTGGAATGTTATTACAGAAAGGTTGTTTATTTTAAGATAGATTAATGAGGTACTTTTTTATTATGTTACAATAACATAATATCAAATATATGAGAACACTAATCTTATGCATTGTTTGTTCTAGTCCTACAGTTGATTAAAATATGCATTAATGATTAATTAAGTTGATTAATGCATGATAAGACCATTTTTTCATTCTTTGACAAGCTTTTAATGTTTTGGAACTCTTTTCATCCTGACATATACCCAAAAAATGCTATGATTGTCCCTTTTTTTTTCTTCAACCATTTACAATTGTCTTAAATGTTTAAGAGTTAATTTTATGATGAATGTATTTAAGAATTTTAGTGCTCTAGAAACTATGAGAAACTGGCTTTTGTGCAAAAGATATTTTGAATTTAATCTTATGCTTATCTAGATATATTAAAAATGAGTAATGCTGTGTAAAGTTATATGTTAAATTTACAGTTCTCATAGTCGAAAATATTTTGAAGAAGAAAGATGGTTGTATATCTGGTCATGACATTGACCTGTTGATAAGGGACCCAAGAGTAAATAACAAAAAGCAATAGGATAGAATGATATATACACAATAATTGAAGACTGAAAAAGACTTAGTATTTGAATACAAAACAATCAGCTAGACATGAGAGTTATGGAGTACATTGTAAAGCCAGTGTATAACAAGTAATTAAACAAACATTTTTAATAGATGATTAAATTGAAAGATTTTGTCATATGCAATTTACTGGGATATCATTAGGTTTTACTGCAACAAAAAGACAGATTTTTACTATTGAATAAAATTAACCTTGGTTGATTTGTTTTATACTGAGAATGTTTTAATAAAACTGAAAATGTATCTGAGGTGCTTTTGCTGTTTTCAGGCCTTGAAGGTGATTGATGAAGTGGGAGATATTATTTGTATAAAGCATTCACGTTACAAGTCATAAAACCAGTTCTTTTATAGAAATAATGAGAATAATGAAAAAGGCTGTGACATTCAAGAAATTGGATTTACTGTCTATGTTTCAGCTTGCTATATTTACATACTTGCTTCTTGTTTTGCTACAGTGAATTAAGTCATGACTTATAGATCAATTAAACAGTTACACTGTTTATGATGTTTATTTAAGTCATTTGGAAATGTTTATGTTGGTTGTGTTTGTTGATAAATATGAACCTTGTGCATTAAATGTTATTAAATTACATTATTGATGAAATACTATGATTTAAAAACAAATGTTTGTATAGTTGGAAAAACAAAATGCCCCTCCAAGCACTGTAGATACACATTTAAAAATTAAAATATTGTAAGATTACTATATGAATGTAATACCAGCTTTAAATATCTTCATCTAAGGATTTCGTATTGTTGTCAATTTATAGAATTTATAGCGAAGTGAAAGATTAAAGCATTTTCCAAATATCATAGTGGTTCATTACATTGTTAAGACTGTCATTTCATACATGTTCTTCAGTTATGTTCAGGTATTGTTTCAGACTATTACAGCTGAATGTACACCTTAAATTTCATTATGTTTTTAACCTAAAATCTAGTGTTCAGATGAGCAAAAATAAAATTGTCAATAAAATACTTTTCTTGCATTGTCTGTACGCTAAAGCAACAATTAAAAATGAACATATCAAACAAGATTTAGTTTTATTAGATTAATTTGTTTTCATTTCAGCATGTTATGATCATTTGTGTGCTCAGATAAATTCAAAGAAATTTACAAAATATTTAAATAAATCGTCTTTGTTTTTTTTCATTTTTTTAAATAGTCCAGGTACTGAATTGTGAATAAACTGCTGTTTTTCCTTTCAGAATTGAGTGATTTTGAATCAAAAATTTTTTTTGACAGAACTTTATATTTTAGCTGTTATTTTCTCTACCCTAAGATTAACAGTAGTTAAATCACCAAGGTACATTGAAATGAAAAGTTGAAAATTATGAAATAAAATAAATGTTACCTTTTTTTTGTAATTTCTTTTTTAATACATAACTTGTTGATGCATGTTCGGTTAATAATATTCAATTTCAAATGTTAACCTCTTCCCATATGTTTTCTTTTAAGCTTATGGTTTTGTTGCCTGGTTTCTACCATGTAAACAGTTTATTTATAAGTGAACACATTAAGAGATTCTGGTATACTGGCATACTGTGTAGCATAAAATACGTGCACTTGAACACAAAGCTAAATAGGCCTAGCTCTTTTCCTAAGTTCATTGTCCAAACAAAAATTTCTGCATCTATCAAATATGCATTTTAGAACAAAAAATATCTCATTCACTATAATAGAAAGTCCAAAAACTACGATAATTTAACTGGCCTTCAAACTAAGCTACAAGTAAGATAAAAGAATTCCTTTACTGCTATAAATAACAACTTTGTTTACACATGCATCAAACACTTCTTGACTAATGTGAATTGCCACCAAATTCAGATAGGTGGAGCTTCTGTTGTGGGTTATAAATATTTATTGATATCTTGACAAGTGGAGGAACTAAGGACATTTGACTTTGTCATTATATATAACTTGTATGTATATAAGTCATAAATAATGACAAGGTCCAATGTACAATTGTATACAAATGTATATTAGTTAGAACACGTAGAAGCTATACTATTGAAGTTATACAAAAAACACAAGTAAAGACAGAGAATTTGTCATGTTTTGTATATAGGCTGCAATTGTTTACAGTAGGTGTATATGACTAGTTGGCGATAAGTTTGAACAATAAATGGATAGCACACAAACCACTTGTTTTAAAATAATATATTCAAAACAAGTCAAACGTATGTACAAAAATTCGTTACACTACTGGTTATCACAGTTGTATCCAGAGCTATAAATAACTGTCTCCTTTTCCTTAAAATCCACACAAGTGGGTTCAATTACTTTAGAACACCCTTTGGCATGACAAATTCTTCTTCTTTGTTGTTACAATACCACTGTGAAACTCACTTTACATATCACCCATTATGGCTAAACTAACAATCTTGCAGTCTAACTTCACTTTTAGTAACTTAATTTTTTTAACTTAACTTGCTGTATGTGCACATATTTATAACATGCGACAGAAAAATCTAGAGATATCTAATCCTCTAGTAGCAACAATATTACACATACTGAGAAAACTTGGAAGCTTTAAGTAAGATGATGTCAACAGTATTACAAAAGCCTAGTACAAATAATGTATGGCTCGTACAGAGTTACATAACGAAACTTGTCACAACCTTCGCTTTTAAAATAATAAACTTTTTAACACTTTTGTTATGAAAACTAAATAATCATTAAGTATTAAATCACTAAGTAGACTAAATAATAACTCTTATACAAACAGTTTTGTGTATCCTAATGTAAGGAATCTGCAACTGATAGTCAAAACTGACAGAATTTGTTTAATATTTCCTTTTGTAATTAAGAAATTAAAACTTGCACAGAGTAAGAGTTTGAATGGTAAACTAAATTTTGATTCCAAGTTTATTGACATACATTGATATTAAAGTTGTTTAGTTAACTTTTGAATTTAACTGAAAGACGTCATGATATACACAATCAACTGCCACTATACACATAGGGTTAACAGCGATACCAGACTTGCAACTACAACTTAGCACAATTCAAAATTAAAACCTGAACATACAATACAGCAATTTATCACTTTACAATGTATACAAATATAAGCCCACTAATTGTTGCACTTTGTCACAATCAATACCCTGCATAGTCTTATATAAACACCGTTTTATCCAGAAGAAATAACACACAAAAAATCTTCATCAGAGATGCATTTGCATTACATGAACTGTTTAAATTCTTACACAAAGTAACCAATAACAGAACACAATTTCAAAATAAACTTTAAAATGTTCATATTGTTACATCGCCAAATTAAAACTACAAAATAAAACAGAATAAACCCTTTAAAATAATAGCTAAAAATGCAGATATATATTCTAAATATATAACACACCCTGAAATTTAAAATATATGTACAATATATACACCATTTACCCAAGGCTTCATTCCCATCACTCTTACTCCTTAGCAAATTGTCATGTGTGGCAGTTATCTTTCGATCAGCCACTGTTGTTGCCCTCACAGTGTCTTGGGCTTTTGGTGTCTGCCATTTTAGTCCACAGTGGTGCACCTCTTTCTTGAGCTGTTATAGAGGTGTAGCTCTCCACCACAGTAGGTTTTTCCTTTTTGTTGCAGCAGGCCCAAACCTCTGTCCATTTGGCAACCATCTCCTGCCAATGGAGCTTGTAGACTAAAATCTACTCTAATTTGAGCAAGTTCTTAATCAACTTTGATGGTTTTGGTGGGAGTTGCACTTTTAGTTACCACTAAGATTACTCTTGGAGCCATTTGGTTGTCTGATCCATCAGTCAATGTGAATGCTTCTTTGTCCATGGCAAGTTTCCTTAGCAGTGATGATGATTAAGTGCCAGCTGGCTCATCTGGATTGCTACAGTTGTAATGACTGGTGGTGGCTGGTACTGCCTGGGGACTTGTGCTCCAACCCTCCTGGATCTTGAGAGGATTCAAGCTTTAGATAACTTTTTTTGGTTTTGTTATGTAATTCTCCTGCTGGAGTGTAAATATATCTCATGCCATCATTGTTTGAACATATCACAACCTATGATTAAAAGTTTCCAGAACAGGTCCAGGTATTTCTTTTGGTTGCCAAAGGTGACAGCTTTCATGAGAGTTAGCTGCCACTGGGATGGTTTGGCTCCTCCATGGTTAACTATATGGTTGTCATCACTACTCCTTCCATTACTAGTATATCCAGTGAAGGCTGGAATTTTGTAGGAGCTACCATGACAAATGGAGTCTGCTTGGCCACTGAAGATCGGAGTCAGTCCAATGAGAAAAGTAGCAAATTCTCCCACCTCCAGTGCATCAGCTAGCTGTGCATCCTCATCCATGGCTTGGCTGTGATGAATGTCAAACCTACACTGGTCAACCATGTAGTTCAATCCGTCACTGTACAGAAAGACTTAGGCATACTGGTTTGTATTGAAGTGTTACATGATGCAGTGGACTGACAACTTATGGTAAGCTGGCAACAAATAATGAAGAATCACTGGCTAGTTAAAGAAAAAGAGATAACCAAAATGTTCAAGAATGTGATCTGAAATAGCAAAAGTCCAAATTGTAAATGTAAGGTCACATGAATTTTGGTTTGTCAGAAGTTCAGCCAAATGTTTTGGGGGTAAAAGAGTCATAACCACTCATTTGCAACCATTACATGCTCCAAAATCATGTTTAGAGGCAGTGTGCCTAAACTAAACCTTGTTCTAGTAACATTTATATGAGATTTGCATGTACTCATGCCCTTTGTTGTCCCTAGAAGATGTATCCCTAATACCTGTGGATTTCTTGGTCCTCCCGGTTTCACTGGATCTCTGATTAACTAATACTTATAACTTTGTTGCCCCTGTTGGACAACAACCATCATGTCATACCCGTCAATGAAGTCACATTCCTTTCACCACTATCTGGTTATCTCATTGATAAAGCCCAGGTCCACTAAGAAAGTAAATGAGTCAAAACTGGAAAACTTTCCTACACAAAAACTGACTTGATGCCAACATTTACTTCTAACCGATAGAATTGACTATACTCAATACTGTTTCTCCCTATGGACCTTCCAATTACAAGTTTATTACAAGCTTGGTGTAACTTTTATAAACAAAATTTACATTTATTATGAAATCTTAGCTACTGTCTCTGAATTTAACTTAATACTGATAACTTCACCCACTTGTGAATATTTCAACTTAATCCAATCAAAATATCTTGCACTATTGTACTGAAAAACACCAGATAAAATGTTTTTTCTTAGATGTAATGCGAATTTCTCTGTTACTTTTTCCTTCCATGAAGATTCACTACCTGCCAAATATTTAAGTGTCGGAACTGAAACATTCTCTTACCAGTGTTAATGAAAATAACAGATGCAATGTATCTTCAAATAATGCCATCAGGTTAGTAATCATAGTTACCCTTATATCACAGGGTCTTAACATCCAGACTAAATCCTTTATTTTTGTCCACATGTCAACTGTTGTGTTCTTTGTGTAATTGATTCATCCATGTTATACAGTACTCAAGAATGACTATGTAACATTCATACACGTGTGAGACCACACATGTACACTTACTTATATTGCTGTATATATTATCACATGCACTAGTAGCTTAGAATACGGCCTTTGGCTCCAGCTCAAATTATTTTGGTAACGTTTTCTGAAGCTGTGACTCAATTATAACTAAGGTTCAATAATTTGCTGCTTTTTAGATCTGTTAAACTTGTCATATTTTCCTTTTGAGACATAAAAAAATAAATATTCACTGTTAAATTCAGTCAAACCCATTATCTAGGATTAATATGCTTTTAATATACTATAAATATATATTCAGAGGAAGGAAATACCTCACTGCATGTAGAAATATCATACATTATTCAGTTGTATGGGGGGGGGGGATGGTGAGTACTAGTTAGCTTGCTCCATAGAGTTTTTGCAACTTGGATTACGTAATTCCTTAAAAATATCGTATGATATTTGCCTAAGGAAATGTATTTGATAGCTTTGAAAACAAGGATTACAACGACCTTTCAATCCTTGATTTCTCAACTACATGGTCAACCTAGTTTATGATAATCAAACAGATATTGTCCAATATCTCCCATAGTGAAACTCTCCTTGAAATTTTAAAAAAGTAAGTATTGCTAAACCATTTCAATTCCATTAATATTACAACCACTTCTAAACAGTTTGTTGATCCCAGCTGTTTTGATCTAGAAGCCAT